TTCCAATTTTCCTAGATTCATACTTCGTACATTCCATGTTCTGATGATTAATGGATGTCTGCAGCTGTTTCTCTTCAATTTGAGTGGTGCCACATCAGCATGGAGGTCTTGAAAGCTTTACCTTATCCATATGAGTAGGGCTGAGTTTACTTAGATGATGCAGCTCTTTCCCAGTCATATTTTGAGACCCTTCTGACCTAACTGGACTATTCATAAAGTTGTGTGGTAATGTATCAAACAGTGTTTCTTTGCTATTCATAAGATTTCCCTGGCCAGTTCTTTGAGAAGTGGACGGCCTCTTCTTTCTTCCTAGTCTGTAAGCTGGGCTGATACACGTGCACCATGTGCACCCTGCTGGGTTTGAAACACCAGTTGCTCAGCCTCAAAACTCATATCAACACGTCACCATGGTAGGACAAACCGACAGATAGGTTTGTCTCCCTCTTGGAAACGTCTCATACCACCGTTACCTGGGTCCCTGCGACTGACTCCTCCTCTGTCCAGGTTCCTGACCTTTTAATCCCCTTTCTCCTGCTCTCCCGCCCTGCTGCTTTGGGCGTGCCTGGGTTCCCTCTCCTCACCTCGATCCCGGCAGCTTACTGCTCCTCTGTCTTAATTCCTTTTGATACAATACTCTAATTCTAGGTATTTATACAAGTGAAATAAAACTTATGCTTACGTGGGTCCAAATGTTTAAAGTGGCTTAAATCATAATTGCCAAACCATGTAAACAACTCAAATTTTTTTTGTAACTGGTGAATGGATAAACAAACTGGTATATTTACCATGAAATACTCAGGAACAAAAAGGAATGAACTATTGGTGTATTCAACAACTTGGATGAATTGTAAAAGCATCATGTTGAATAGGAGAACTCACATGTGATTCCATTTATATGTATGAAGATCTGAAACCGGCAAAACTAGTCAGTGGCAGAGAAAATTAGAATAGTGCATTGCCTCTGGGGAATGGGGGTCAGGGTGGAGATTTATAGGTATATAGGTAGTTAAACTTCATCAAGTAGTATATTTAAGATTTGCATATTTCATTATATGTAAACTATGGATAGAGGTATAAATAAATGGATATGAGATAAAGCAAGTACAGCAAGATGTTAATTACATAATTCAGATGATAGGTATGAGAATTCACTGTAAAATTATTTCAGTGTTTTTGTATGCTTGAAAACTTTTATGATAAAACATTATGAAAAAGATTCCTAGATATTTGATAGTTCCTGGGTAATACAAATTGTTACTACCCTCACCTGCTACCTGCCAAGTTTGGAGGTTTGAGTCCACTCAGAGGCACCTCAAAAGAAAGGCCTGATGACTTATTTCTGAAAAATCAGCCAATGAAAACCCTTGGAGCACAGTTGTACTCTGACATGCATGGGTCATGAATTGGAGCAGATTCAATGGCATCTGGTATTAGACACCATCATTCCTCTGTCGAAGCCGGCATTTCTTCCCAAAATGTGTTCTGTGCAACTATAGTTCTGCAGCTTGGGAAATCTCCATGTTAGAAATTCACAACCTTAGCACACAAGAGAGTCTGAGAAGTACCACCTTGAAGAAGTCCAGCTGATTGCTTACTCAGGATTCCCTAAGAACCAGTTTTTATAGAAGCCCTGTGTGTGTCTTATGGAATGCCTACTTGGGAAGATGTGGGTCTGGTTGCAAAAAGGTAGCATAGCAACATCATTTTGTTCTGAAATCCTGCTCAATACAGAAAGCCCAGTTTGTGGACATGTTAGTGCCCTGGTGGGGGGAAGGTAGGGCTCAGTTCACAGTGCCTGAGTCACTCAGGGCCACAATGGGTCCCTCTGCCTGCTTGCTTTGCTGCTGGACTCTGTGACCTTGAGGATAGGGTTGACTGCAGCTGTTCAGTTGCAGGCCCTTCATGAGCTAAGCTTTAATGCCTCAAAGAAAGTGCCTTTTGCCCTTTTTCCTTCAGCATCTGTGGGCAGGGAAGAAGGGTCCAGCCTCATACAATGTCTAAGTACATCCTTCCGGGGTAAAGCACCCACCTACCATTCAGCCTGTCAGAATGCACTGAAGTACCACCTTCAAAGTGGATTCAGTCTCTGGGAGCTACCAGATAGTGGGGCCTGCAGATGGAATTCTTTCAAATTATCCAGTGGGTCAGGCCAGGCTAGCACCAGACAGCCCCCTACAATCATACCCCTAAACCTCTCTTCTCCAGAAGGAGGCTTGGTCGCCAAGGCTTATTCTTCTGCATTTAAAAGACATACAGATATAACATGTTCTATAAAAATACAAATTTAAGTTTTATTTAGAAAAGTTTCCATGAGACAATATATATTAAAAATATAACAGTATCTTCCTCCTTGTATCTTAAGGAAGACAGACGAATTCATGCTTTCAAATTACAGTGTTGATGACAAATACCAAATATACTTGGCCTGCCAATCCAAGCTCTATCAGTTACTAGCTTGGTAATGTCAGGCAATTTATTTACTTCCTCTAAGTCTCAGTTTCCTCACTAGTGAAAAAGGAATGAAAAAGAGAGGTATAGCACCTGACCCAGAGTAAATACTCAATACATATTAATCTGACTTTTAGAGCAAGAAGGCCAGGCTCAGACATAATTTTATCTGATCTCTCATTTTGAAAACAAATCAGTCATTGAAGATACTTAACCAGAATGTTTCATAAAAGCAAGGATTGTGAGACGACTTTGCCTTGCTTACTTGGACATATCCCCAGGAAACACCAATTGCTATGGTCAGTGAAAATGAGAGAAACTTGCAATGAGGTGGACTGACATAATGGCTGCAACAGTGGGCTTAAATGTAGCAAAAATTATGAGGATAGTGCAGGACTGGGTAGCCTTTCATTCTATTATACACAAGGTTGCCATGAATTGGAGCCAATTTGATGGCAACTAACAACAGCAGCTTCCTCCAAGCATTTTGCCCCAAATGAATGAAGTGGCAAGCAGAAAGGTGCTTGTTTTTACAAAGTGTCTTGTTTGTACTAGATGCTGGGCCATGGCATTTAACATTTTGTTATACTATCTTATCTCCACAAAGAAATGGAAAATTCCTTATATTTGGAGCTGACAGGCCATCACAACCATCAGCATATAGCACAGCTCAGTAAAGACTGGATTAAAAGAATGGTGGCAGCATCCCAGACGCCCCCAGTGCACCACGTGGGTGTTCTAATGCACGAGCAAACTTGTGGGCCTTAGCAGGAAGAGAAGTGAGAGTGCAAATCAAATCCCTACCTCACTGGCCATGTAGGTGTAGAGAACTTTGCCTTTGATGACAAACCAGAGCTTCTTCCAGTGCCTCTTGCCTTTCTTATACCGGCTGAGATAGCCACTGATGGCAGAGCCCTCTCCAGAGGCAGCTACCTGGTGGGAAGTAAGCAGAGTGGGTCAGGGCCCCAAGTAGTAGGGCACAGTTCAAACAGAGAAAATGACATTCCAAAAGAGCCATCAGAACATTTATACTGCTTTGAAATCCGATGCTTAGTTAAGGTCTCAGGATCCGTCAACTATCAGAGTCAGCAAAATAGTACTTCATGGTTTGAAATAGGACTTATGAATATAGTTTTGGAGCCAGTAAACACCTGAGTCAAAAGATGCCTTCAGAAGTGCTGCCCTCTAGTGGTGTTTAAAATTCTTGTCCCACCCCTCTCCGCCAATTGCCATCACAAAACTGTAGATACCTGAGTAAGAGGTTCTTCTTTCTAAAACTGTTCCTTACATTTTTCAGCTTATCTCTTTCTTACATTTAAGGAGAGATCTTCTTTGTCCTGTTTATCTAAAAGGCTTTATGGTCTGCCTAATAGGGTGTGTAGAGCATTAATTCCTTTCATTGTTACTATTATTCTGTCGGACAGTCTCTGGTAGGCAGTCCCCTTAACACAAGCGGGTCCCTGGGTAGTGCAAACGGTTAACACACTGAGCTGCTAATTGAAAGGCTGAAGGTCCAAGTCCACCCAGGGGCGCCTTGGAAGAAAGGCTTGATGATTTACTTCCAGAAAAAATAAGCCCCTGAAAACCTTATGGATCACAGTTCCATGATGACACACATGGAGTTACCATCAGCTAGAGTTGACTTGACAATAACTGGTTGTAAGAACACAGGCTGGGAGTAATACCAATTTGGGGCTCCAATCCAAGCTCTATCAGTTACTAGCTTGGTAATGTCAGGCAATTTATTTACTTCCTCTAAGTCTCAGTTTCCTCACTAGTGAAAAAGGAATGAAAAAGACAAGTATAACATATGACCCAGAGTAAATGCTCAATACATATTAATCTGACTTTTAGAGCAAGAAGGCCAGGTTCAGACATAATTTTATCTGAACTCTCATTTTACAGATGGGAAACAGAGGCCCAGAGGAATAGAGGGACCTATTGAAGGCTAAATCCCTAGTGGAAAAGCAGGTAAAAACCTAGATCTTTCAGCAAGTACTGCAGAGTTCCTTTTACCACAGCAGGAAAGGAACCTACAACCCACTCAGGCTATTTTGAGAAGTCAGAAAAGAAACCTGGCATTAAATCCTGCCCCAACAAAGGTTCTGAGACTCCTAACAACAGACACTGGCTTTCCTTCCCCACTTGCCCTGGAACACCCACACAGCACGAGAAAGGCAGACTGGCTGGAAGAGGCCAAGGATGACAGCTAGGGAAAACCAAGATTACTCTGAAGCCTTCCTCTGACAGATGTGTCTAGGGCAGCATGCCTGCAGAATTTCTCATGGGAATCAGGTCTTATTGAGGTGGGGCACCTGGGAGAAGGAGAAGAGGATGGCAGACTTTGGGGGCACATTTCTCTTGGGGCCCCTGCAGATCTGTGAAATGAAGTGGTTTCCATCAAGAGCCTAGCTGGGGCCAACTCAGATGGCACCAGAGTCAGAGCAGGCTGACTCCAGAAGGCCTGTTGGTTCTCTGGGTAAGAACAGTGGTTTTCATGGCTTGTATCCAAGGACTGACTCAGGGTCTGTGAGCTTCAGTCATGTAGATCTCTTCCTAAAGAGGAAGCAGGGTGGTGTTTTCTCAATTTATTGAAAAAGGACTAGTTAAGTAAATTATGGTACAGGTATATAATGCAAAAAGTGTGAAGTGTATGTGTATGACATATGAAATGATCTTTAAGATAAATTAAGTGGAAAAATGTATAGAAGATTCAGTATAATGTTACCCCTTTGGGCTAAAAAAACAGAGGATCTGTGAATCCTTA